ATAAAGAGAATATTGTAACTTACAAAACTAGAAAAATATACGTAAATTCCGGGGTATGGATTTTTCTTTATGCTTCATTATCAAACTCGTGTAATTACGGGATCATGCCAAAATGAAAGAAGGGCTTAGCCTTAACATACCTGGAGTAGGAAAAAATCCGTATAATATTCTTGGAAAAGATTGCACCGTACTCCTTTAGAACCGCAAAATTTTACGTTGCTATGGTTCTAACAATTCTCGTTGGAATTGTTTGGTTGCAAGAATTTTATTGAAATCTTGCTGGATGGAGTTTGAACGTAATGTTTATGAAACCAAATTCTGGTTTGAAATGTGTTGAATAGGATTCTTTTAGGAAGAAAACCAAATCTTGCAATGTTATGAAACTAAGTTTTATAAGGTCTTACACTTACTTACACGTAAGTGTCTTGTAACTTTAAATGGACACTAAGCCACTATGACTAAGTGTCATAGGCCATAGTAGTGGCTTGATGCCACGTGGAGGTGGGGGTGGGAATTATTATATCTTTATCCACTTATTAGGTGATTAGGTAATATCCCGTTACCCGGTAATTAACTAATTACCCGCATAATTAAGAATTATCTCAAATTACCTAAAAATACTACTCATTTTTAATATACTTTATACATCATACTATCATGGTAATATGGTACCTTATATGGTACTAGTCCAAAAATATCGGGTATTATAGCTCAAACTGTGTTTTATCCCAAATCGGCAACCTTCAACGAAACTCATTTTCTTCTTTTTGCTTACCTCTCTCCTTCACAAATTTACTCATCATGTATATGAAATAGCATAATGCTTATAATCTCAAGAAAATCTCATCCCCGAGTCTACGTTAATTAACTGAAGACGAAACTTTAACGTACGAAAAATGCGAGATGTAACATTAAGAATGGTTTATGGTCTAAGAAGAGCCCCAAGGCTAAGTCAAGTTGCAAATTTTATGATGGGATAAAGTTTCAAGTGAGTTCGCACAAGATCCTACTTCAAACGCATGCTTCTACCAAACTATAACCATTTAGTAGGTGATCTACATATCAAATTAAAGCCCTTTAAGTCTAGTTTCCAACGCTTCAAACCGTTCATCATTTGGACATTCCTACAAGACGTTATGAAAAAATTACCAAAGACTGGCAAAAATGCTATTCTGCGACCAATTTTGCGATCGCAGAACCATTATAAGGTCGCAGAAGTGGTTATGCGACCGCAAAATGGTCGCAGACCTAGCCAACACAGCCCAATTTTGGGCATCGATTCTGAGATGCATTGTGCGGCCCGAATACCCATTCTGCGGTCCATTATGCGATCGCAGACCTGATTTCAGAGGGTTAATTTTTCTATTTTCATAACCCGACCCCAATTTGATAAATAGGCTTTGGGGCTTATTTTGGGGCAATCATCTAACGTTTTTTAGAGAGAGGTGAGAGTGTTCTATAGAGATAAAGTAGATGAAGTGTTTTGTTATTCAAGATCTTGCCCAAGCTTTGAAATCCAACAAGGAAATCTCACAAGATCTTCATCTAAGAGGTAAGATTCAAACCCCTAGTCTTCAATTTCGAGTTTGGGGTAAAAGATGGGTGATTAGGAGTATGATTATTGGGTTAAAGAGTATTATTTATACATGCATGTACCGATAAGGTTTGTGGAAAGATTGTTGAGCTCAAATAAGTAAATATTGGGTTGTAGAATGAAGGAAATCTTGTAGAAGAACCTTGTAGCCAAATTTGCACACCTAGTATTTGATAAAATACTCAAATGAACTGAAACCATGAATATCTTCCTAATTATGGTTCAATTTTGTTATGTCTCAAAATAGATCGGGATAACTAGAAATTTTGAAACGTTGTAGTAATTTAAGGAAAGGTCAAAGCGTGGTATGTTGGCTAAACTTCTTAACTAGAATTGAATTCCATGAGATTCTTGTAAGTCCCGAGTTATTCTTTATAAATCAACAATTCCGAATAAACTTTGTGTTGAAAGGTATATGTTCAAAATGTATTCCGGATGATCTTATCATATGATGTTATCCTTCGGGAATGTGCTCAAAGCATGAGTTGGATATAAAAATGTTATGAATCCAAGTAGTATTTCAAGTGAAGGCTATTATGCTAAATTGTGTAAGAAGTCTCAATGTACCTAAGACTCTTAATTGCTCATAGGTGTACAAAAAGTCGTGATTAGAGATTCTTTGTTGTCGATAATCTATAAAGATGCTTGAAAGTGAAAGTAGTGAGTTGGGGATATAAAGTGGAGACACCGTGCCAATGATGAAAGTTATGATGGTGGCCAATAGCGCCAATGAAATGAAATGAAAGTATGGAATATTAGATACGGCCACCATGCCATGAATGAAGAATAATATGTATGGCAAAAAAGAGCCAATGAAATAATGGTGTTGTAAGCAGTTGAAAGTGCTAATGAAGTGATAGTATGAATATGAGATGTGGTCGTTTGCCTAAATGAGAATTATGAGGTGTTGTATTTCCCGATGGTTTCGACTATAGTCGTATGCTTCTGAAATAATGTATGTAAATGACTTCGATGTTAAGTCCTCAAGAATCATGAACTTAGCTAATGACCTCAAGATGTCAAGTGAGTGAATAACGAGATGAACGGGAGATGTCCTATGCTAAAATGATGATGAACCTTAAGAAAAGAAATTGGGCTCATGTGTCATTGAAATTGACTTATTAATTCACCATGCATGCGCTAATGTAATGAGCTATGTTTCTCCATGATGAGAACGAAAATGAAGTGTTCCAATGATCCGGGAACTTACGACCTTAATGTAATGTTAAACATGTCGCTTTGAGTTTATATATGGTTGTGTGCATAATGATATGTATGAACCCTATGGACGGGATATGAAACACATATGTGTATAATATAATATGAATGAACACTATGAACGGTCTATGAAACATGCAGGTGTATTGTGTAAGTAAACACTGTGAATGGTCTATGAAACGCACAAGTGTATTGTGTAATTAAACACTGTGAACGGCCTATGAAACGCACAAGTGTATTGTGTAAGTAAACACTGTGAACGGTGTATGAAACACACAAGTGTATTGTGAAAGTTAACACTGTGAAGGGTCTACGAAACACACAGGTGTATTGTGTAAGTAAACACTGTGAATGGTCTATGAAACGCACAGGTGTATTGTGTAAGTAAATACTGTGAACAGTCTATGAAATGCACAAGTGTATTGTGTAAGTAAACACTGTGAAAGGCCTATGAAACGCACAAGTGTATTGTGTAATTAAACACTGTGAACGGTCTATGAAACGCACAAGTGTATTGTGTATGTTAACACTGTGAACGGTCTATGAAACGCACAGGGTATTATGTAAGTAAATACTGTGAATGATCTATGAAACGCACAAGTGTATTGTGTAAGTAAATACTGTGAACGGCCTATGAAACGCACAAGTGTATTATGTAAGTAAACACTTTGAACCGTCTATGAAACGCATAAGTGTATTGAGTCAGTAAACACTGTGAACGGTCTATGAAATGCACATGTGTATTGTGTAAGTAAACACTGTGAATGGTCTATGAAACGCACATGTATTGTATGGTATATGTGAGTCCTATGAAGGGTCTATGAGACGCATAGGTGTATTGTCTATGAAAGCCTATGTACGGTCTATGAAACACATAAGTGTTTAATATGATATGTGAACACTAAGGATGGTCTATGTAATGTATAAGTGTAAGATAAGAGAGGGATATGGACAGTCTAGTGAGATGCATTGTTAACACAGACATTAAGTGCCATTTTCATTAGCCTTGTTTGAACATGTTGTTTCAATTACTTTATATTATGTATTCCACGCAAAGTTCATATGGCTCAGTTAATCCTAAATGAAATTTAAAATGAAGTAAGCATAACGAGACTTGAAATATGAATCTATGGTATATTTCATAGTTCTTGATGTACTTCATATGACTCTTATTTGAATTACCATGATTTCATATGTTATTCTGTTTGCCTTACATGCGAGTACTATTCCACATGTACTCACGTTCCTTTTGCTGGGGGCGCTGCATCTTTTAATGGATGCATGTATGCTTCTACAGGATTATATGGATCTTTGGTAGGGATCTTTTGCGAAACAGATTATGGTGAGCCCGCTACAATTCCAGTAGGCATTCGAGTCTAGTTGGTTTTATGTACTTAGGTATCTATTGTCATAGAAGCTCCATGTATACTATGGGTCATGTACTTAAGTTTTGAGTTTCGTCATGTATTTATATTCACAGATATTTATGAAGCTATGTACTGATCACGAGAGAAAAAAAAAGAAAAAAATAAAATTTTATGGGCCATTGAGCCAAATAGATTCAATATGAAAGTCATGATCTAATTATGTTTTGATATATTATGCATGAGTTATGATGAGAGGTTTATGTAAAGTAGGCTTGCTAGATTGGGTTTACTCGGTTGAGCCCCGGTCGCGCTCCTCGAGTTCGGGGCGTGATACTATGAGCCTCCTCCAGGATCAACTCTCTCAACCTATCCACATTAAGTACAAAAATCCGGCCTTGAAGCCGTAGTTCACCATCATCACCAATAGTTAACTACTCAGCACCACCTCGCTGCACTATGTCCTTAAGGATAAGCAAATAGGGATCATCATACTAACAAGCCTTAATGCGCTTAAATAAAGTTGATCGAGATACAACACAAGGAAGAACTCTGCTCAGCTCCGTAATATCCAATCTCACCAACCTATCGGCCAACACCTAAACATTCATAGCTAAAGGCCTCTCCCCAACTAGAATGAAAGCTAGGCTACCGCCCATACTCTTTGCCTTCCTAATCAAGGCATATGCAACCACATTGGCCTTCCCCGAATAATAGAGAATAGTGATATCATAATCCTTCAACAACTCTAACCACCTTCGCTGCCTCAAATTCAAATATTTCTGTTTAAACAGATGATGGAGACTTCGATGATCCGTATACACCTCACAATACATGCCATATAAATAATGCCTCAAAATCTTGGGCGCCTGCACAGTAGATGTTAACGCCAAATCATGCACTGGATAGTTCTTCTCATGGGGCTTCAGCTGACGCGGAGCATAGGCGATCACTCTTCCATCCTGCATCAATACACACCTGAGGCAATACACGAAGCATCACAATAAATTGTATATGATCTTGATCCCGAAGGCAAAACCAAAACTAGAGTTGTTGTCGGCAGTCTTGAGCTTCTGAAAGCTCTCCTCATACTTGTCAGACCACCTGAATGGAGCACCCTTCTAAGTCGACTTAGTCAATGGGGCTGCAAGGGATGAAAACCCCTCCACAAATAGGCGACATTACCCAGCCAAACCTAGAAAACTCCTAATCTCTGTGGCTGTAGAAGGTCTGGGCCAACTCTGAATTGCCCCAATCGTTTTTGGATCCACATTAATACCCTTATTAGACACCACGTGGCCCAAGAATTCCACCGAATCTAATCGGAACTCACACTTATAGAACTTGGCATATAACTTCTTCTCCCTCAGAACGTGTAGCACCGTCCACAAATGTTTCTCGTGCTCCTCCCCACTACGGGAATACACCAGGATATCATTAATGAACACAATGGAAAAAGAGTCCAAATAAGGATGGAACACATTGTTCATCAAATGCATGAATGTTGCTGGGGCATTAGTCAAGTTGAAAGACATTACCAAAAACTCATAATGCCCATATCGAGTCCTGAAAGTCGTCTTAGGAATGTCCGAAGCCCTGATCTTCAACTGATAGTACCCTTATCTCAGGTTAATATTTGAGAACACCCTAGCACCCTAAAGCTGATTAAAAAAATCATTAATGTGTGGCAGTAGATAATTATTCTTGATGGTAACCTTGTGCAATTTCCTGTAGTCAATGCATATTCTCTTGGAGCCATCTTTCTTCTTCACCAATAGCACTGGTGCACTCCAAGGTGAAACACTTGGCCTGACGAAACCTTTAGCTAGCAATTCCTTCAACCGTTCCTTTAATTCCTTCAACTCTATTAGAGCTATACGATATGGTGGAATAGATATGGGATGAGTGCTCGGTGCCAATTTAGTACCAAAATCACTATCCCTATCGGATGGCATGCCCGATAGGTCTGCATGGAACACATCTTTAAACTCTCACACCATGGGGACTGAATCATCCATAGGAGTATCATCATTGACATATCTAAGTCTAAGTACGCCAAACACCCCTTCTTAACCATCTGTTGAGCCTTCAGAAACGATTCCACCCTACTAGGAATATGACCCAAGTAACCTTTCCATTCCAACCTTGGCAACTCCAGCATAGCCAATGTCATGGTATTAATATGATAATCAAGAATAACATGGTACGAAGATAACCAATCCATGCCCAAAATCATATCGAAATCCACCATATTAAGCAACAAAAGATCAACTCTAGTCATAAAGCCCCCAATAGAAACCATAGAGGAACGATAGACACGATACACCACCATAAAATCCATAATAGGTGTAGACACATAAATAGGAGTAGCCAGAGAATTACGAGACATATACAAATATGAAGTAAAGTGGGATGACACATATGAATAAATAGAACCCGGATCAAATAAAGCCGAAGCATCTCTATGACACACCGGAATAATACATGTAATGACTGCATCTGATGTGACTGCATCAGTCCTACTAGGGAAAGAATAATAAAGGGCTAGACATCCCCCTCTAGGGCGATCTCTACCTACCTATCCTTCACCTTTAGCTAGCTGTGTAGGTGGAGTAGCATCTGGAGTGAGATGTGGAGTAGCATCCTTCACCCTATTGAGGTACACGTTTCCAAAACCTGGGACAATATCTCACCATGTGCCTAATATCACCACACACAAAGAAACCTCCCTGCTGATGTGGCTGCTGGAACTAAGTCTGCCTCAGATGATAGGAATGACCGCTAAGAGAACTCCATGGGGGAGGTGCATTACTGCCCGGTACGAGTGCTATGAGGCTAACTGGAGCACTATGTGAAACCTGAAGTGCGGCTGAACTAGTCGAGTAACAAAGCCTCTACCATGACAGGCCTTGGTCGTATAGTAGAGGTCACTAAATCTTCTAGGACCACGAGACCTCTTAGCCTCCCTATCCTTCATCTCCTGCCCACGGTACACTATAACCTCCTAACAATATCCACAACCTGATGAAATGTAGTCTCGGTCTCCATCTCCTATACCATCCCAAACCTGAGGCTATAGGTGAGTCCCTAAAAATATCTTTGGATTTTCTCTCTCAATGGAAACTAAGGGAGTTGTATGGTGGCATAACTCTGTAAACCTCATAGCATACTCACTCACAGTCATACCCTCCTAGTGGAAAGTGCATCCCAAAAAATGAGATAAATATAGGTGAAGGTCGGCCATAGACCAAGTGGATCCCATAGGGGCTGCATGTGCAGTCTCGCAAAAACGTGAATATCTCTCTACTCCGATGTCGCATTGACAAACGGTTTAATGCATTGGAAACTAGATTCGTAGGTATTCAATTTTTAAGGTGTATCACACTAAAATGCATAGCATATTTAGAGAAAAGCTTTGTGACTTTAGACCCAAATTTCAGTAAGATTATGAACATATCTTGCGATAACTTTTATCGACTTTTATTTCACAACTCGCTTGACTCCAAAAGTGTGGGTTATAACATCTTTGATTCGTTTAGCCTCCAACCTTCACGATACTTCTGCACTAGTGTTAACTCATCATTAACATTGTAAATGTCCTTAAACTCTCCGATATATATCGATTCACTTATGACACATTCCAACATGAATGTATGGGATGTAACATCCTTCCACCCTTAGGAACATTCATTCTCGAATGTTAACTCTTAGAGACTCGTGAAAATTCTGCTAGAGTCTCTTCTGTACATTGGTCTAAAACTAATATGCACGTAGCCAGAAACATACTATACATGCCACACAGGGCCAATGTCTATAAATAGCAACACTTGGCCTCACACGAATCATTAGTACTACAAGTCAAAAATAAGATCTCACCTCTTGACCTACTGGTTTGAACTAGGCTGTGCTGTAATATCCCATCTCGAGCCATATCTTCAGTTGAAATAGGTGGGTGTATGCAGATTTCATTTCCTCTGTGGCCTCCCACGTCATTTCTTTGACGATCTTATTTTTCCATAATACCTTCACGGAGGAAACCATTTTGGTATTAAACCAAAAGATATCTCGATTTAAGATAGCCACTGGAATATCCTTGTAGGATAGATCCTCTATAATCTAAACGTTATCTACTAGGAAAACCTGAGAAGGGTCTCCAATGAACTTTCGTAGCATGTATAATTGACTCTAGAGGCAATTCAAGCTCATCTACTACTCTGCCTTTCCATCGAATGACTCGATAAGGCCCCATATATCTAGAACTAAGCTTTCTCTTCATACCAGATCTCATGACGCCTTTCGTAGGTGACATATTTAGGAATACCCAATTGTCTATGACTTCCATACGTTCTTACTTTAGGAATTCTTATTCTACAACCTTGTCCATCGTATAGTTTTTATTATGATGCTCTTATAACCAAAATAAATCCTCACATTGGCTCTCATAGTTTGCGTTTTACTTTTCTTAAGCTTCGTTATCAGCTTGGTACTTGTAACATTGCTATTCAACTCTTCTGTCGCACCTTTTATAGAGATATACATATATTTCTGCTTCTCTTGAGGAGTGAGTGATTTAGGATAGGCTCTATCTTCTCAATCTTGTATTCTAGTCTCCTGACTTATCCCGTTCTCGTAAAAATTTATACTTGACTTGTCATCTTAGTTTGCTCACATTCTTGATCTTTTAAATTGTAATACTTCTATAAAAGCTAGCACATTTCTATTTTTAGCATAACATGTCCTAACAGACACTTTTGAACTGAACGGTCGATCTGGAGAGTCGTTCATTCATGTTATACTTTATAGTCCACGATAATCTTTGAAGTACCGACCACATGGTGTCGCTCGTCTCGGTCATGTCTTCTTATTTCTATAGTATTCTAAATTACGACGCTGCTGTCATCTGTTTTCTTTACTCGAATAGTTTAAATAATGTTCCCTTGCCCTGTTAATGTCTCGGAGTCCTGCAATAGTGGGGGCACATATTTAGCTTGTCATCTCCACCCAACTTTTGTTATCTCTAAGGCTGGTACTCTTCTAATATGGTCGTTGTACTATCTCTCTTGTACTTCTGCTATTACAAGTGATTCTACAATGTTCTGAGTCACGATATCTATAATCATCAGTTTCTAAAATTGGACTCCTGACTTACTTAGCTGATGTAACTCTCGAGCTTCCTCTTGTCTATCAACCTTTAAGTAGGTTGGAGTTAGCTTCCAACCTGCACCTCAGGGTATTAGTTTTTACATTAACCTTTCGTGGACGCTATGGAAAATCCATGTTATAATCTTCTAACAATTCAAGCCTTTGCCTGTGACATGGACTCTATTTTTTTAACGATATACGGAAGTCTCAAATAGCTGTAATAATGTCAACATATATGCTACATGGATAATACTCCGAAATCTTAAGTGTGTTCATAATGTAACTAACTATGGGTCATAAATCAAATAATTTCTTTCGTGCCTTCTTAGTTGTCTTTAGATGTAACCAATTACTTTTCCTGGTCGCTGTGCCACTTGTTGCATGAATACTTGGCTTATCTTAGTGCCCACACATATTAGAATTGCATGCAAATCATATGATCTCGAATATTACTTTTGATTTTACTTCCCCTTCATTAGTCTCGATGAGTGACTTTTTATTATTGTAAGGCCCCGTAAAATTTTGCAAAAGAAAATAATGTTTCATGGTGCCGAATTTGTTTTACGTGTTGATTTGAATTGTGTTTGTTGTTGATGATGAGGATGATATTTGAAATTGATATGGTGAGCATGAAATACTGAATATGGCCAACATTCCAAGAATGATCTTATAATTATGGCCACTAGTGCCAATGAAATGAAAAGATGTGAAAGTATTATGAAATGCGATGATTGATATAGAAAGGTTGATGTCTCAAATAAGACAGCCTAGCCGATCGGGTCGTGATCGGACACCATGCCGCACACATGGTGTTGATTGTGCTAGAAATTGTAATTGAAATTTTGATTGTGGTCGATGTCCCTAATGGATAGCCTAGCCTATCGGGTCGTGATCGAAATCCATGTTAAAGACGGTGGTATTGATATTGAGAGTAATTGTGGTTGATGTCTCTAATGAGATAGCCTAGCCGATCGGGTCGTGATCGAAATCCATGTTAAAGACGGTGGTATTGATATTGAGAGTAATTGTGGTTGATGTCTCTAATGAGATAGCCTAGCCGATCGGGTCGTGATCGAAATCCATGTTAAAGACGGTGGTATTGATATTGAGAGTAATTGTGGTTGATGTCTCTAATGAGATAGCCTAGCCGATCGGGTCGTGATCGAAATCCATGTTAAAGACGGTGGTATTGATATTGAGAGTAATTGTGGTTGATGTCTCTAATGAGATAGCCTAGCCGATCGGGTCGTGATCGAAATCCATGTTAAAGACGGTGGTATTGATATTGAGAGTAATTGTGGTTGATGTCTCTAATGAGATAGCCTAGCCGATCGGGTCGTGATCGAAATCCATGTTAAAGACGGTGGTATTGATATTGAGAGTAATTGTGGTTGATGTCTCTAATGAGATAGCCTAGCCGATCGGGTCGTGATCGGACTCCGTACTGAGAATACGGTGGTACTGGTATTGTGGACAATGGTATATCGATACTAAAAATCTCCCAATGTGAGATATGGAAATTAATTTGAACACTGTCTTGATCCTAAATTGAGGTTTGATGTTAATTAAGGCTTTCATTGATATTATGATAATCTTGTTTGTATTATTTGTCATTCTATTGTGAGGGTGTTTAGTTATACATACTAGTCCTATTCGATGGTACTAACGTCCCATTTGCCGTGGGTGCTGCATCTTTCAATGGATGCAGGTGGTTCCATAACAGGAGATATTGGTTAGTGATAGCAGTGCACCTTCTTCCCAGCTGACTTGGTGAGCCCCACTTCATTCCGGGGTCATGAATCTTTTGTACTTTGTGTATTCTGTTTGAGGTATAGCCGGGGCCTTGTTGCCGACATTATCATTGTACTCTTCTTTATCTATAGAGGCTCCGTAGACATAGTGTGGGTTGTGTATTGGTGCTGGGAAAGACAAACTATGCTATGTTGTGGTTGTATTACTTGTCCATTTGAGACTTTAAAAATGGTGAAACTTATGGTAAGAAATTGGTAATTGCAGACATGACCACTTTATTGTTTAATTAAGGAAAACATATATTCTCTTTATTCATGAATGAGTTTGGGTAGAAGGAATCTAACAGGCTTGCTAGGTCGGGTTACTCGGTTGAGCGCCGGTAGCGCTTTTGGGGTGTGACAATTATAGAGTGCATACAATGTTCTAATGAGACTATTGTTACAAGATCATTTCTTCTTCAGGTTACTATGCTTAGGTCAAAGCCTTCTTCCTTATTTCCTCAGCTAGTCTTTCGTTGTAGTACATAGCGGAGACCCTCTGACTCTTGTAGATATGTGACCTTATTACATCGTGTACCCAAGGGAATTTTTGATGTTCTTACTCACCTATAAATATCCTTAGTTACAGACCTTCGTGCCCTTGTACTATTAGGGTTACTTCTGAACTCAAATTTTGATTGTCTCCCCAGTGGCACTCTCTTTTATTTCCATAACACTTATACAGTATTTTTAACTACACCAACTCCTATTTGAATATTTCTCAAGGATTACGATCTCGTATCTGCAAGACTAAATTTCCTTATTCTTGGGTTCGCTATGTTATCTTGTATGATCTGCTTATTTATCTGTGACCTCTTGCCTAGCCATAACTAGGCTCTTCTTTAATCAGATATTACTATCATTGGTCCATTCTCATATTTGTATTCTGTGTAACCTCTCTTGGGTTATGTCCTTTTTTTTAACTTACCTCTCGTACTTGATCCTTATGTATCAAGTGTCCATTCACACTTATTTATCAATAACATCCTGGATGGGAACCCTTAGTGCCTCTTCCCAGCATCATGCTTGCATAATGTTCTGGAGTTGTAATATATCTATAGGATCTGAATAAATGCAATCCCATTCCTTTCGCCCTTTTTACCGCATTCTTCCTTTGCCATTCTAAATTTACCTAAACAATTTAACTCCAACTTAATACCATATCACGCCATCTTCCCCCTTTAGGGGAGTACTAACATTTAATGCTATGAAGTTTTACCTATATATGTTTTACCTCTTCATCTTCGGTGTCTCTTCACACTTTTAATGACCCTTACTTGCTTTGCGGTAACCCTTATGTACAAGGATAACTGAATTTTTTATGCACGAGGGTGACACCTAGTGTAACTGGCACACTTAGACCCTTAAGCTCAACTCTGATCACTAGAGTTGCTAAAGTAAAGAGTCTTCTTGAATGACCTTTAAAGGTTATTCTTCTATTTTTAGTTCTATTATTGACGAAACGCTGTATCTGAAATTGCCACGATGTAGACTATTATCAAATCCTCCGGTCCCTAATTCATGTTTGGTTTATCATGTTTACTAGCACATTCTAATTTCTATTACTACGGGGGTCTAACGTAGCCTTGTGGTAATCACGTTGGAGTCACCAACTCATTTCTCGAAATGAGGATATGAATTTATGGCTCATAATCTTTTAAAGTTTCAAGGCCTGTATCTTCTTGTCTTTTCCTTCACTTGACTACAAACTCTTTCATCCTGTTATATTTTGATTTACCGTTTCACCCATTTATCACATCTTTACTCATAATGCTTCATTTACTCATTTCTTATTCTCCTGCTAATGTTTCTGTCTATCACCTTATTCCGAAAACTTCAACAAAATATTCTTTCGCTTTTATCTCCCCTTCCTCCATCTCACTGGCTCTTTGGGTCGCCTGGCATTCTCTCTTTACTAGGGACAAGAGTCATATTCATCCCTTCTAGGATTCCAGTGCCTATCTTTTAAATTTTCTCAACATTCTAGTATTCATATCTA